GCGCCCAGTCCCCTGGTAGGTGGGATGGCGTCTCCGAGGAGGGCAGAGTGGGCTGCGAGATGGGGAGGCTGGTGCACGGGTTGTGGGGGACCTGCCCTGCTGTCTTTGCCAGCTCTCCCTGCTTCTTAGACAGGGATCCCTCACCGGGCAGTGGGCAGTTTCCTTCTCTCTCACACCAGTGGGCTTCGAGGCCTGTTTCCCTATGTGCAGGATGGCTCATGGGTGTGGGGAAGCTGGGTAGAGGTTGCCTAGGTCTTCTTTCTGTTGGCTCCTGAGAACCAGTGTCCAGCTCCTTGTCATGGGCTGTGGGTATTGCTGTCCATCCCGTCCCATGTGGTCACAGCCAGGAACAGTCATGGAGTGCTCTCTATGTGCAGGCCACCTGCTGTGTTTTGAGTGTCCATTTCCCTTCAATCCTCCAACAGGTGAGTGGGACCTGACATCACCCTCATTTTACAGATGAGGCAGTGGATGGACAGAGAGGTCAGCAGATGCTTGCAAGTGAGCGGGTGGGATTTGAACCGAGAGCTCCTCACTCGGCACGCTGCCTTGGACACCAGCTGTGTAGGCCAGTGTTGCAGGAGCAATGTGGGCAAGGGGAGCCCTCACCTCCTCTGCCTCTGCAGGCACTGAGAATCGTACTGGTGTGTCAGTTTTTTCATTTGACACCCACTGTGTGCCATGTGCATCGCCTGGCACCAGGGGACAGAGAAGCATGAAGCACAGGCCCCCTGGCTGGAGCTCCAGCCTGTCTATGTCCAACCTTCCCACTGTCCTGGTGTGAGATCTGGGGAAGGCACTTAGTCTGAGCAGAGAAGGAAGACTAAAAACACAGTAGGAGAGGGAAGAACAAGGCCGGCATCACAGGAAGGAGGCCCAACACCCAGCATGGACCAGGTGTGAGGTGCCAGGGCCAAGGGGCATGGCCGTGGCCCGGGAAGAGCTGACCCTACAAGGCCTGCACTGGAGGGGCCAAGACCAGCTTTGGGTGGTGGAGCCCAGAAACTGGGAGAGGCCTGGTTGGGGGAGTTTATCCAGGGCTGGTGGGCACAGGAAGGGACAGAGGGTAGACAGGGGCAGACAGCCTTGGAGACAATGGTCCAAACTTGGGTAGTGCTTCCCAGATACCACCAGAGGGGGGAGAAAGGCAAGAACAAGATTAGGGCTGGTGTTGGGCAGAAGCGACTAAGCAGAGCCAAGGGCAGCAAGGGCTGGACGTGTCCATGCACAGCGCTAAGGGTTTATAGCCACCCACGTGGGTCAGAGGAGGACCTAAGGTTCTGGGTGGGCAGCTGAGCCCACAAGAGCCCCTGAGCCCCGGGAGCAGGTATCATAATGGGCAAGTTCTTTGCACAGTCCCAGCACCTCCTCCCTATTCCACTGCTCCCCCTAAGTGGAGACAACCACCTGTGAAGGGGGGGGGCCTTCCTGTCCTCACTTTGCAGATGAGGGACCCGCAGCACAGAGAGGTCGAGGGCATTGCCAACATCACACAGCTAGAAAAATGACAGAACATTCCAAGCTCAGCCCAAGCCTGGAGTTGCCTGCCAAGAAAGAGTTGTCCAAGTTTGGGGGATGACTGTCCATAGGGAAGGAGGTGTCAGCCATGATTCTCCTCTCTAGCCCTGGGGAGTGCTGGGCTTGTTTGAGCTCTAACAAGTGTCTGTACCAACCAATGACCTGGCTGCTGAGCAGGATGCCACCTGGACCGGCCTCCCATCTTCAGAAGCAGCAGGTATCATCCTGAACAGTGCTGGGTGGATCAAGGGGAGAAAGCCCAGGCAGCCTGGCTCTTGTGGGGCTCTGCATCCGATTCCCGCTTTCTGCCCCCTCCAGTTCTCACTGACCTGGAGTGCTCACAGGTGGATCAGTCACCCGGGAGCTGAGCTGGGGAGGTCTCTCTTGCCTCCTTTCTCACCCCAACTTCTAGGGAAAGTCTGCAACTTGCTGTGTATCCGGGCACCTGCCTCTTGCTGAAGCACCTGGTCTTCTGCTCCCAGCCTGTGGCCCTGCTTGCCCTCAGCAGTGCAGGGTCAGTGGGGCAGGGTTGGCACCTGGTACCATATCTACTGCCTCCTGGCCTTGTTCTTGCAGGAGCTGATGTGAAGTGGGTCACACCTGACTAGGCCAAGTTTCTGAATCACATCCCACTTTCCTGAGTCTCTGGGTCTTTGTCCCACCTAAAAATAGAGGTGACCACTCACTTTAGACATCATAGACTGTGCCCTGATCTTTACTCCATATTCTTGTTTAGTCCTTGTAAGACCCCTAGGGAGAGGGTAATCTTGTCTCCTGAATTTTCTAGACATGTAAACAGAGGCCCAGAGGTGATGTGACTTGCCCACAAGCACATTCCCAGTGAAGGGCCGAGATGGGGTTTGAGCGCTCCCTCTGGCCACAAGCCTGCCCTAGGTTCTACTTTCTGCCAGTGGAACTTCAGGTACAGGGAACCTCCTCTCCCCCAAGAGTGTGTAGCTACCCCATGTTTGTATCAACTATGTTTCTCACGTTTTCAAGGAATATGAAGGTGAGAGGAGGAACTCGTGAGCTGGACGGCCCAAAATCAAGATCGAAAAGATTGGAGGAGGAAAGACAGATGGGCCAACACAAACAAGACGGCATTAGAGGTGCCTGGGAAGTCCTGCGTCTCTGCTCAGTGTTACCATTGCATGTGGGCAGGGTGCAGAAACACAAGTCTACCCACAGGACAGTGGCGAGGAGGGCTGATTTTGGGGGTGGGGGAGCGGCTGTGGAAAGGACGCCGCTGTGTTGAGAATGATGAACGGCGCTGGTCTGGGCCTACACTCCACCTCTAGAAGACAGACTCTGAAGGCTGCTCCAGGCAGGCATAGGCTAGATAGAGGGGAGAATTTGCCAATGAGGAGAGAGATCACGTAAAGGAGTGGCCTCAGGAGGGAGCTCCCTGTCCCTGGAGGGTGTCAGCAGCCACTGGCTGAGGCTTATTGCCTGGAAGGGGTTCCCTGAAGTCGGGAAAGACATTTCCTGAACACCAAGTCTCCACCTTCTAACTCAGGTTTGGGAAGTCCAGGAGACATGTAGGCAAAGGACATTCCAGCGAGAAAAGCCGACCCTGTGGCAACCTGGTCAGGCGGGGTTGGGTTTCATCACCTTGACTGCCGTTCAAGGGCTTGGTCTGCTGAAGGCTCTGACGGAGCCTTGTAAGAGCCCAAGTTCCCACCTGCTCGGGGCTGACAATCTCTGCTTGTCAGTGTTTTTTCTGGCCACGAGCCCCTGCTGAGCTCAAACGATGGCATTGAATTCTGGTACCGCCTGTGCTTGGGAGTGGCAGGGATGTGGGACCCAGAGGGATGCTGGGGGCAGAGGTCATGTCCCTAGGATTTGAGTCTAGCCCATGAGCAATGCCATGTTTTGCTCAAGCCTTTGGCCAGGGCCCACTGGATGGGGTCAGTGGCCTGGAAGAGAGAATAGAAGGGAACATGGGCAGTGGAAGAGATTGAAGAGGCCGACTCCTGTGCCTAGGTCGGGGGCCCCAGGCAGCTGCTGGCAGAAGTGCACTGGGGTTTCCCGAGTGTCTGAGACATCCCCCCCGCAGCTGGGCAAATGGGCTGATGCAAGATTGGAAAGCAGTGGGTAAACCAGAAGACGGAACCAGTGCCGGCCGTGAGGGTGGTTAGAAACTGTGAGAGTGGGGAGGGGACGTGTGTTGCTGCTGGGACTGGATGGTGAACCCAGGTTGCGCTGGGACAGCAGACGATGCAGCCTGTGTGCTTGGCAGCTGTTGAGATTGTTAAATGTGCCACACATTTTAAAAACTCTTATACGTTTTGGGGAAATAATTTTTAAATAAACACAGAACACTTGCAAAAGGAGTAGAAACAATGTCTTCCCAGTCTATTTAGAATAGGTGCTCCATGTAAGAACCCCCCTTATCCCAGGACCTTCCCTGTGCACCTCTGAAAGCACAGACACACATAACCTTGGCCCCGAGATCCGGGCGCTCACCCTTGACACGCTGCTGTCTGGCCTCCAGACCTCACTGTGGTTCCAGCAATTCTCCCAATAACCTTCTCCATAGTAAAAGACCCCAGCAGGCCACATGCCGTGAGAGGTGGTCACGTCTCCTTAGCCTCTTCAAGTTTGGAAATGGTCCTCAGTCTTTCTTTGCCTCCCATGGCCTTGGAGTGTTTGAAGCTTCCAGGACAGTGACTCCACGTGATGCTCCTAACCTGATGTTTTCTCTTGATTAGATTCTGGTTCCGCGTCTTTGCTGCAGCCATCACAGAAGGATGCTGGCTTCTACCGGGTGGCAGGTGATTCTCAGCGTAGCCTCTGACTGGTAAAGTCTACGTGGACCGTGTGATTGAGGAGGTATCTGTTGGCTTCTCCACTGTGATGGATTCCTTTCCTGGTCGTCACCAGTACGGGTGTCGTGGGGAAGGTCACGGGCACTCACCCATTAGTTTTACACCAGCTGATGACTTGCGGCTGAGCTAATGTTGCTGTGATGTCAGCCACAGAGCGGCTGCCCCATGTATTTGCCTAGTGAATGAATCTGCAGTCCACGTCCCCTCGTGCCACAGGGCTACTTTCCCCTGGGAGACGTGCTTCCTCCACAGACCTGACTGCACCCCCTGTCCCCACGCGGGCAAACTCACACCTGGAAAGCCCTCCCTAGGATGTTTAGTGGGGCCACGCCTGACACTGGGAGCAATCCACAGTCTCCCAGGGGCCCATGAGGGGTTTCAAGTAGGGCAGCGACACTTTGATTTATGTTAAGCAAAACCAAAACAAAACAGAAACAAACACCTCAGTTGCTGTGTGCCAGGCACCCCCCCCCGCCCCCCCCCCCGGCAGCCCCGGGGAGGTTGCTGGGAGGGCCTAGAAAGGGTCCATATTTCCCAGCATGTAAAGAAAGGCAGGAAGGGGCCCTGGCTACCCCGAGGGCTCTGGGGCTGGGCCTCAGAGGAGACCTGTGCACCCCCCTCTGCCCCTTCCCTCCTGCCTGGGTCACCCCATACCTTTGGTCTCCCTCAGTAACTCTTCTGTGAACTTGACCACTTGGGCCACCTGCGACCATGGGAAGCCTTTGCCCACAGCGAAGATGACGCTGTCGTAGAGCGTGTCCAGCAGGATGCTCTGGCGGGAGTCTCGCAGCTCATCAAACTCCTCCCAGTTGAGGAGTTTCCGCAGATGCTCCCGACCTTTCGGTTTCTGCGGGGGGTAGGAGGAGGGTTGAGGGGTCAAATGCAATGCTTACTGGGCAAAAACACCATTGGGGGCCCCACACAGCGCTCCAGGGCCCGAGGAATAAGCAGGAATGTGGGTACACCAGGGAGGAATCACGCTTTGATTTCCAGGCAGCCTTCCTTCCCCCCTCCCTGGAGACTTTGGGGCCTTTCTAGCACTGCTTTTCGTGAGTTCTCAGTGAGCCACAGCAGCCTCAGGTCTGTACACCCTCAGCAGGCTACAAGTTCTCAAATAGGGTTCCCCTAAAATGCAATTTGAATTACCTCCAAAGCTACTCTCAACTAGCTTAATATGACCAGATTTTAACATTGGTAAAGTGAGACACCATTGGGGGGGGGGGCTATTGGCTGAGCTGTTTATGGTTAGGGACCCTCTAGAGAGGGAGGGGGCTACTTGTTTGTTCCAGACAGTTTGGCTCCTGAGCTAATTGTCCTTGCCTAGAAGTGAGGGAGGGAGCCATTATCCTTCTGATACCTATACCACCTGGGAGACCTGCCCAGGAGGGGAGTAGGGAATTTACATTAGCCTTTTCATTCCCAAATGAAGTTACATTAACCTTTTCAGCAGCTGAAAACTGTATATTTCCTTCCCATTCTCCTGCTCTTTCCTAGCTTGTCCTGCATTCTTTCCAAAAATCCGGACTTTTTAAAAACGCCACAGGATGCGGGACAAATTGTTAAAAATTGGAACTGTCCCGCCAAAAGCAGGACGTCTGGTCACCTTAAACTAGCTGCCCCAGAGGTCTGGATGTGATAATGAAATTCATACTAAAGTGTACATGACTGACAGAGAAGAGGCTTGGAGAGGCAATGCTTTAGCAGAAGGTAGAGTTGTGCTTGGTAACAATTCAGGCTCACTGGAGGCCAGCAGGAAAAAGCTATTCAGGGTGCCTTTCTTCCCTACTTAGAGGTAAGAGGCCATTTTATATGAGAGTTCAACTGGCCCTTTTAGAAAGGTCCTTTTAGGTTACCAACAAAAGTAGGAAAAGAAAGTGCTACTTAAAGGAAGGGGTAAGAAAAGATGTGAGTGATGTGGAGACTCACTGCACACAGCAGTGTTGCTCTCCCAGGGTGAGGGGAGGCTCTGGCTGGGGGGAACCTGGGGGACCTTGGGGAACTTGGTGACAGAGGGAGGCCAAGCTCTGTCCTCAGCCCCAGGGACTCCCACTGCTGCTATTCTGCTGCCAGACCCAGGCAGCCCTTCCCTGCAGTACAGAAGCCCCCACTCCCCACATGGCCGTGCCCTTCACCCTAGGGCTCCCAGGACACACCAAGAGGCAAGCACAGCCCCTCTGTCCCCCCAGGCAGGCTCTACTGCCTCTGGGCATCTACTGTGGGTTTGAGAAATAGCTGGCACCGGGCTGGTCCCCCCTGGCCTGGAGCTCAGGCCTCACACCCTGTTGTACCTCAGCAGTGGTGTGTCAGGACACAGTGGCCACAGAAAGGTCCCCCCAAAGAAGCGCTACCTCAGCCCCTTCCAGCACACCTCTTCCTGTGGGACCAACCCGGGCCAACTTCCTTTTAGAAGCCATGTTTTCTCTTTTTTCACCTGAAATTGGAAGACTTCTTTCATTCCCTGGGGTGTTAAGAGTGCCATGGCCCCTGCATCCGGTTGCCAGGAGACCTAGCAAGGACTGACTCAGACTTTCCGGAACCTTGGAGGTGGCTGGGCCAGCTTTGTTAGGTCACCAGGCCTGCTTCCCCGAGGACTTTCCCGGCCTTCTTTCCTTTCAACCTCTCCTCTCTGGGCCTCACTGCCTGCCACTGCCGGGGGACTGCCACCCCCTACTTTTCCCTCCAAACCTGTTCACCCCTGGGCTTCCCAGATACATAAGCACACACAGTCACATGCACACATGCACACACACAGACACACACACACACACACACTGCCCCCTCATCCTACATGCCCTGCCCCCATTGCTTCACCCCATTAGGATCCAGCCTGCACCCTACTTCCTCCCTGGCTAGCGGCATCCATGCCTCCATGTTCTGGCATCATGACTTGGACTTTGGGTACAGAAAACAGCTCTGCAGTGTGTCCCCAATTATTGTGCCTGACCCCCCCCCCATGCCACAGTCAGAGGGATCCATCTCCCTTCTCTGTCCTGCCAGCCCCTGCACCCTCGGTCACCTTGGGGGGTCTTTCTCTGCCCTGCTCACTGCTGCAGCCCCAGAGAGGAAGACTGGGCACACTGGCTGGGCTTGGTGGATGGCTGCCCAGGCCCCCTCCCTAGGTCACAGTGCCTCCCCCAGGGCAGGGTCGGGAGAGGCCCCAGCTGTACCATCTGAGCCACTCTGAACCACAGTCCTGCCCCAGCTGCATGACCCCGCCAAGGCTCACTCTCTGGCCCCTCTCTGTCCTTCCTGGTGACAATCTCTCAGGCCCTCACTGCCTCTCTTGGCCACACATACTAGAGAGACTTTATCCACTCCCATGGTCCATCCATTGCCAACAACTCCTGCGTTGGCAGGGTGGAGGTGCCCACTCTTCCCTGTGCCTGGTGGGGGTGTGCTGGGTGCTGCAGCCTCTCCTGAAGGAGCGGGTGCCCTGAGGCGCTACCCTGCCTGCATGGTGTCCTGGGGGCTTATGAGTGTTGGGGTCGTAACACTGGCAGGAGTCCTCAAGCAGTGGTCCAAGGGGGTCCTGGCATCCAGGCTTGCCTGGCAGAGAGCTGCCCTGGCTGCACCCAGGGTGGATGCCCCAGGCCTACAGGAGCCCTTGCTCACCTTGAATTCTGCCAGTATCTGCTGCCCCAGGCCCCTCCAAGATGCAGCTGGGCTGGGGGATCACCATCCTGGAGCCCTTCCTGTCCCTGTCCATTTTCTCCTCAGAGTTACTAGCAGCCACAATTCTGTTTTTGCACCTGTCAGAAACTCAGCCTGGCTAGGCCTAACAGAATGTGCTGTCCCACATTCTGAACTGCCTAGGTGGTGCCTGCAGCACTGGGCCAGGACTCAGTGGCTCAGGAGGTGCTACAGGGTTAGGGATTACACAGTGGCCGATAAGAAAAAAACAAGCAGCTTCAGCCCCCAAAATTCTGTCTAGATATGCTCTTTGGTCCCATGTGTTACTTTCACGGAATCAACTGGAAGCAACTACAGCCAAAATGAATTCAGTCTTAACAGAACCACGTTGCCAGATAAAGCCCTGGCCCACAACATCCCGTGACTCTTAACTTTCTAAGACTATTCCTGAGTGTGAGACCCAAAGTCAGAGGAGGTAGACTTTCTAAGTAAGGCCATCCCCCCACAGCAGCTGAGATGAAACAAGGGAGATTAGTGGGCCAGGAAGGGCCTTCCAGAGGGAGAGCGATGAGGACAATGTCCCAGAGTTTTCCCCAGAGGGTGAGGCAGAATCAGCCAGGCTGGTTTTCACCAAGGAAGGCCAGGCCCTGCCGAGACAGAGCACCCTCACTGTTATCTAACGTTCGATAACTGTCATGGCCCAACAACTCTGATGTCTCCTGTTATTCTCTTTTCTTGAGGAAAGTTTCTATTACAGTTCTCTTCCTCTTCTGCCATTGCATGTAGGGTGTGCCAGGGGCAGAATCTTCCCTTTCTGGCAGGGGAGGACAGAGTCTCACTATGTCACCCTCAGTAGAGTGCTGTGGCATCACAGCTCACAGCAACCTACCTCCAACTCTTGGGCTTAAGCAATTCTCTTGCCTCAGCCTCCCAAGTAGCTGGGATTATAGGCACCTGCCACAACGCCCAGTTATTTTCTATTGCAGTTGTCATTGTTGTTTAGCTGACCTGGGCTGGGTTTGAACCCGCCAGCCTTGGTGTATGCGGCTGGCACTGTAACCACTGTGCTACCTTCCCCTTTATGTTTGTAGAGCGCTGGGCCTCAGTGACATCTAGACTGGGCAGGAGAGCTCACCCAGAGATCTTGTGACCCTAGTGGACGGGCCAAGTGTACGTGAGTGTGAAAGACTGATTATGGCTGAAGGGTAGCTCCAGAGGTGGACTGTGATAGCCGTTGTTTGTGATCTGTCCACTATTCTTTCCTAGTCCTTACTAATAGAACTGACCCTGTTGGAGGTAACAGTGCCCCACAGTTTTTAAAAAGTGACTTTTTGAAGCCTCCCTTACAGGTTGTGCTAGTCCTGTGATAAAAAACGTGGACAGTATTTCCAAGCTTTGGAAAGTCCATTTGCCTTTTATGCCTTTCTTTGCTCCAGTCTGGGATGCAGAGGTGATTGCTGGAGCACCAGCAGTCACGTTGCAAGCCTATGAATGAGAAGCTGGTGCTGGCGTTTCTGGTGCTAGCCAGGGTCTGCTGCACCTGCCTCTGACTGCCAACCTCTGGGTACTCTGTGGCGTGAGGAAGGAAACACCCACGTCTGGTTTAAGCCACTGTCGTTTGCGTTCACAGTTCCAGGTAGCTACACACAATCCCTTGTTCCTCTAGACTTGGATTTCTGAGGCCCAGGTTGGGTCAAATGAGGTCACGAGGTGGCCCAGGCAGTGAGGGGCTCTTGCTCTCCGAAGCAAAGTGATTTGCCAGAACCAGGAAATGAGGGAGTTGAGACCTCAGGATATCTCTCCTCATCACCCGTGTGAGCTGACGTCCCACTTCCTGTCAGGGCCCTGAGAAAGGGACAGTCTCCCCGGTCATCTTGGGAGACTTTTCCAGGACTTGGGGGGGGGGGGGGGAGACTTGGGGAGGCCGGGAAGTCTGATCATTAACATAAGGGCAACTCCATCAAGGACAGATCATCCTGATGAAGCAGGAGTTCACCCTACTGTGGACACTTCACAGAACATAAACGTCAGCTTTGTGAGCCTGTAGCCTGTCCTCCGTGGTTGCAGCCTCAGTTTCCCTGGGAGAGAACCATTAAGAACTCAGGCCATACTCCCAGGGAGCCTGTAGCCTG